CATCTTTACAAATGGTTCAAAGATAAGTAGCCACTCCTCTTCAAACTATTCGGGAAGGAGCAGAGCCCTCCTCTAACTCTTCAAATGGTAGCAACAGCTCTGCTCTTCCCCTTTCTATACTTATCCCTATGATAACTCGACAGGGTGAAAGGGTAGATCCCATAGAGACAGAGCAGATCACTCAACACAATGAGCAGGTGGCTCCCTCTGAAGCTGAGCAGGCCCCTCCATCTCCAGCAGTGGCCTCACATCACCTAACTCCATTGGAGCAGCTGGATGAAGAATTTGCTAGAGTCAAGGCATGGAGATCTTGGAAGCTGTCAAGAATTCTACATCAAGTTGAAACAATCGCACACTTCATTGAAGAGGAAGACTTTGTAGTAGATTGGCTTGGAACTGATGACATGGCAGATGCAACAAGATTACTAAAAATCAACCAAGTCTATGCAATCAAAAGGAAGCAGCTCACTGCCAAGGATGCTATTGAAGATTCCAGTGATGATGATCTGGATGATAATGATGCTGACGATGCACCAAAGGGACCTCCTAGCTCAAGAGGTAAGCAAATCATACATTCCTCCTCTTCAAGTGATTTAGATCTCAGGCAAGCCCTTGAGAAATCCAGACTAGAAATTCAAGGAGGAGGAGAGTCCTCCAAAGCCCCACAAGAGCAGCTGGCTGCCACCCTAGGGCAGGGGCCTCAACTCCTTGACCTAAATTCAGAACCCCAGCAAGATATTGCCCCAACACCGCAGCCTACAACTTTAAATGACATACGGGAGCAAATCTTCATTGAAGGAGAAAAGGACACCCCCACACTGGCTGAGGTATTCATGCATAAACGAAGAGCAACTACAAAGTTCATAAGCAATGCAGAGGTTAGACTTCACAAGCGATTGATCAAAATGCAAAAGCATTTTGACCAACTTCTGGAAGCAAGGTTTGCAGAGGTTCACTGCCACATCAAAAGCAACCTCATGATCCAGCAGGTGTTCAACTCAGAACAAAAGGCCCAGCTAAAGATGCAGATTTCCCAGCAGCCCGCTCAAATCGAAGAAATTCACAACGAACTAGCAGCTCAAAGAGCTAAGGACTGGGAACTTGAGCTACAGATTCAGACTCTACTCAAGCAACTACATGATCAAGAGCAAACATGAGCATCTCTACATTCTCTGCCACCTACCATCGAAAAAGCTCTCCAACAAGTCAATGCACATGAAGCCTACATCAATACTCAACAAGGCCAGGAAGAAGCAATTCAGAGAGGCCTTCAGGACCTTCAAGCTCTATGCTTAGAGCTACAAGGTCAGCTTCAAGCACTCCAGCAACCAACAAGTGCAATCCAGCCCTCTGCCCAAGTAGAAGCAGAGCCCTCTGCCCAGGTACTTTCTAACCCTACCTTACCAACTAACCTCGAGCAGGCCCTTCAAACTATCCAGGTGCATGAGGGGTTCCTACAATATCTCAAGACAAAGGAGCTGCCTGCCATCCTAAATCTCTCCAAGAAGTTGGTCACCAAACAAGTGGAGCACTCAGAAGCAATAGGAAAGACTAGAGCAAATGTTGCTGATCATCTAAGCAAGCTACACGCAACTACTCAAGAAGCTCTTCAAAAGCAAGGAGATGAACTCAAGACACTGGGCCTACACCAACAAGCAACAACTCAATAACTTCACAAGCTTGACCAAGAAATCAAAGAAGAAGTCAAGGTAGATGTCACTGATCTTCGAAACTTAGTCACTTCACTTGCCATCGAAGTCAACGACCTCCATCCAACCAGAAGAAGACACATTGAGGTTGACTCCGACCCAGAGATCGAAGCACTATTCAAAGAAAGTGTGACCCCTGCTGCTGCCAAAAAGGGGGAAAACACAACACAAGCATGCCCCTCGTCTACAAGGTCTCTAGCAGCCAAGAAAGCAGCGGAAACCAGGAAGAAGAACAAACTCTACAAGGAAGAAGCAGAAATCAGAAGAAGAAAAGCAGAAGAGGCCGAAGCCAAGAAGAAACAAGGAGAAGACAAGCAAGAGTAGGCTAGATCTTTTAGTCCGAAACTGACTATAAACTATTGCACTCTAGACTTCAGAACAATGTACAAAAATTCAATGAAAAATAAATAAAATATTTTGCTCTTGTGTTGTAGAGTTTTGACATCATCAAAAAGGGGGAAATTGTTAGTACCCAATTTTGATAGATTTTGATGATGCCACTATACGTAGCACGTGTACATTGTTTCTCAATATTATTCGTACATTAGTATTGAAAGTTATGTGACAAAAATAAATGTACAATTTTTTAGTCAATTTAAATATTACCGGAAAAATTAAAATGCAATAAGGTAATTTTACTTTACCTTAATAGGATATTTAGATCCTACCGGTATATATTATTTGAGCTCAAAAATCAACTATATGTCACATTATTAAGGACACAAGCTCGGAAATTACATTCATTGAACGAACATAACTGAAGACATAATTGACGAGCATTAAATGCTAACATAGTACTGGGGTCCTTGCATTGAAGAAGCTCATGTGGAATTGTTGCTGAAGAGATGTCTCAGCGGCTAAATGATGAAGGACAAAGAAATCACCCGGAAATCAACTCCAGCACAAGAAGACGAACGTACAATTCGTCCTTGTATGTATTTCAACGTCAGAGATTAATTCATCCTAACCAACGGATGAGATTAATTCAAAGGAGAATCCTATAAATATAGGCTGAAACGAAAGTTTCTAACCAAGCTTTGAGCATCCAAAAAGAGAGAAATTCTTTCACAAGCATTCACGAGATATCTAGCAAAAGAGAAAGTGTTATTCTAAACTTTACTCTCTGCCTGGACTCTTGCTTCACTAAACTTCCAGTTTACAAGCTCTTCATTGCTACATCATAGAAGTTTAGTTCCTAGTTGGAGGTTAGAACTTTCTTGTAACAAATCACAAATTGTTGTAAACACTTAGGAGAACAGTTGTTCGGATCCTACAATGTAAGTAGATAGATAGAGTACCTTTTGATCCCCACTGGTTCATTAGAGAAAAGTCTAAGGACTGAGTAACTTTGAGTGGTGCTATACTCATTGTGAAAAACCTTCAATCTAGGCCTAAAACGTTGTAAAGGCTAGATTGGCACTAAGTGTATTGGGTTTAATACTTTAGTGAAATCCATCTGAAAGAGGGTGGGACTGGACGTAGGAGGATTACACCACCTCTAAACAAGGATATATCGTGTGTTTATTTCATTTCAGTCAACAAAGCACACACCCAACACTTCTCACATAAAGATTGTAGTTTGCCAGCAGCATCCTAAACAGTTGTCTTAATTGACCCAACTACTTATCCTACTGCTTAATTACTCACTCTCTTTGAGACAAAATTCACACCTTTAACGTGCACCATTATCACTTGAAAGGATCACTCTATTAGTTCTCTGAAATTCACTTTCTAAGTACAACAGGTGTCTCAGCAGTTTCCTGGAATTCACCCAACTGCTGAGCCATCTGCTCATATATACTTACTTCGTGTCAAACATCTCAAACATCACCAGACTGTCACTACATCACCAAGAAGTTTGCTTAACTCAATAAGCTTTTAACCCAAGCAGGTGCCTCAGCAGTTCCCTCACATTCACCCAACTGCTGAGTCTACTGCTTCAGCAAAAAGCTATAGTTTCTTTTCACCTAAGCATACTCACTAAAAGCCTTATCGTACTCATCCTTACCTTCATCATATACTCTGCATTTCTTAAGCAGTAGCCTCAGCAGTTCCCTGCTCTTAGCCACCTGCTAAGCCAACTGCTAGCATTCTAAGCCAAATACTCACCTAGTTAGAAAGTGGCTAAATTCTCATTACATAAAGGGTAAAGACTTTCACTGTGCATCTATAAAACTCTCAAAAGTTTATAGATTAACTCTTTCAGAGGAAAACTTTAAAAGTTGAAAAAGATTTAAAAGTCTATTCACCCCTCCCCCTCCCTCTAGACTTTTACCCTATCCGGGACCATCATTATTAAATTTCGTAAGGATTTTACCAACATAATGGGATTGGCTTAGCGTAAGACCGTCTGGTCCTCTAATTATTTTAATCCCAAGGATTAAATCGGTCAGCCCCATATCCTTCATGTCAAATTTTGAATTTAACATGCTTTTGGTAGAACTAGATTCTCACCCGTGCGATGCACGGGACAAAATTTAATAAAATAACGTGATATTTTCTACATTAACAATGAATAACAACATCAAATATTGATAAACGTATAATGTATAAATGAGTGAAAGAGAACATAGGTATACACCAGCTTCTCTCTGGCGTAGTTCGGTGCAGAAATAATGTGCTTGTGGCACGTCGAGAGTTCGAAGCCGGTATGATGATGATGATGAATGAATGATGAGAACCTATGAAGCACGGATACTTCCCTGGGGTAGCGTATCGGCGTATCGGAGCACACAAAATGTAAAAGAGTAGGTGTTAATATTTATCATGTTCCAGGAGCACACAAAATGTAAATATTATAATCAAAGAATCATAGAAAAGTCTACTATTCACTCGACGTTTGGAAATATTCTTAACGCGTTAGTCCTTCACTTTAACTCTTACTATACCCGTCCTGAAAAGAATAATCATATTGACTTTTGTTAATCGATGATGTCAATGTCTGGACAATGATTTTAATTATTATATTGGTATACAATTTATAAATTGTATACTTTTATGAAATATATTTAATAAGGATCATTTTGATATAATTTTCATATTAAAACATTCTATATACAAAAATTCATAACTAACTCAATTAAATTTACGAAGTAGTACAATAATAAGAACTACAGGTCAATGGACATTCAAAACAAAACAACTACCCAATTTATACGGCCCATTTTACACCCAACCTAACCCAACAACTTAAATTAAAAGCTACTCAATAGTCCAGACCTAACCCGCCCTATATAAACACTTTTACCCTGCAGCCTCAACATTTACACTTCGGCTTCCTTTACCGACCATCGGTTCTTCAATCTTTGGCGGCCTTAGGGTTTCTTTGAGATTCTTACCATTCTTCTCCACACATGCCAAGTCTCTCAAATGGTGATTATGTCTGTAAATCCGACCCTATCTCTATTTGTTATGTGTTTTGGTTGTCTCTTTTTAAAGCGCATAGTGTGTGTCATGAGTTGATTTTTTTGTCCGTTGTTGCCACAGGAGATCATAGGCCTCTTCCGTCTTCATTTTGGTATATTTTATACTATCACTATGTTTTTTCTAAACATGCATTGTTATACGATTTTGCTTAAAAGATTTATTAATTTTACCCAATATTTATACAGTTTCAAAATAAGAGATTCTGTAATGAGATTAATTTAATAAATCTACATTTTTTGTAACTCATATAGACATATATTCCGATCTATAATTCATATAATTCATATGATTTGATCTGGTAAGTATTTGGTCTCTGTGTATTTTATAACCGTTGAAGTCTGGTCTTATATGATCTGAACTGGTCTGATCTGAGACTCAAAATAGTCCAAATAAAAGCATCCTTAATGAGTTCAGGAAACTTTCCAAGATCTTTTAAACAATTAAAGCATTATTATTATTATCATCATCATCATCATCATCATCATCATTATTATTATCAGAATGATTATCATTATGATTATCATTATGATTATCATCATCATCATCATCATCATTGTAAACAACAACTTAAATACTCCATAATCACAATTTAAAATTGAAACGTGAATTAAAAATAAAATAAAATAATAAACGTCTTAGTACGGAGTAGTCATGAACCATCATTCTACACAACCGAAACCAATTTTTTGTCAGCCATTATGTAAAGCCCAACCCAACTAACATTCAACCTACCCAAAAACTAAAACCTAACTACACCATATACGAAGTATAATATTGTGTTTTGCATTAGCCTCTTCATTCATCCATCCGTACACCCCATTCACGCTAATCCGCTAACCTCTCGTTTGGTGAATCTTTATGCCGACTTTTGTCACTATCCATAATATCCATAAGATCCCTTCTCAATGATTTGTAGCTATGTTCTATATATGATTATGATTATTAACCCCTTATCCGACGATTTCGTTGGTTGAATTTTTCGTTAGTAGCTTAACCCCTTATACGAATCCTTATGTGACTATTCCGAATTTCATGGTGGTTGAGAACAGATCGAATGATCTCATACATGTTGTTGTCCTCTCTTCATTTGGGTATATTTATTTCTTTCATGTCTTCAATTTTGAATTTTTTCGCATGCTTAACACACACACACTCTCAATTTTTTTTTTTTGCTCAAAATCTTCATTTAGGTTTTGTGCATTGTTCTTGCTCTGGGGGTGTGGAGATCTCAAAAATTATTTTCTTATGATAGATGAAAATTTCACACACACACACACACACACACACATATATAGAAATCTTAAGAATCATTCCAGCCCTAGAGTGGTGTGGTGATGATCATGCATATGTTTTCTTCTTACTCTTAACTTTTTAAGATACTTAAAAAATGGTTTCAAAAGTTAATTTGGCCTCTGTTTTTAGGAATTGCTCTAATGCAAACTCGTATTCGGATTTATTTGTAATTGTTGTCATTTTTTGTGCTTTAATTGATTAATTGATTTCTGGGTCAGTATAGTATATATGCATAACATAAATGACATTACCATCTATCATCTCAAACCAATGAGATAAGCAATACAAAAATGTCATACACATATAGATTGTGTATCTCATATGGTTGTGGCCTGGATAAGATTTGTAAAATTATACAGAGCATGCAATTAAACGATAACTCTTTATAAAGCCACAATCTATCTGATTTTCAAGTAATATTTATATATATACCGCTATAGATATATTTTAAACGTTTGAGTGAATCGTAAGTTTTAAAAATGCAAGTGCAATTTGGAATCTGTTTTTCATAGCTTAGCGAAAACATAACTTCTATTTATATAGCTTCTATACACGTTTAATGAAATATTTTCTATATATAAATATTATATATTATTTATATTATATGTAATCATTGAAATTATTTTTTTTAAACAACGTGTATATATAAATAATTTGTGTTTTCATATTTATAAACATGTCTTCACATTACATGCATTATGGAATACAGAGTACTTTTTCCAAGAAAAAAAATACATTTCAGTGGTAATACATGTAATAGGATGAACACAGCTGGATCAAGTAGGGCTGTGGTGAGGTTTTCACAGTTTGGTAGTTATCAAGGATCAGAAAGTTTCTTATACCAAACACTCCATGTTCTTTTATTTTTGACTTGTTGTGGTCTTTTACTAAATCATGGATCCCACTCCCCTGTAAAAAACATTTGAATGTTAAGATACAATTTAAATTGGTGATAAAATAAATAGTGTATGTATTAAGCATTTTTATAACAGAGTGTTACCTCCTCAAGTTGTGTGTGTATTTGTTGAACTGTCTGCCATTGCAAAGTTGTGCATGTATTTGTTGTGGTGTTGAAGCTCTAACACCTTGAGAGTATTTATAGTTGCATATGTGATAATTTTTATCCTAAGAGAGGTTTTTAACCAATGGCTAATCGAGAGATCCTTTAATACAAATCCTTTAATGCTGCATAGTACAAAAGTACAAAGCATTTAGTAGTCACTCCATATTTGATATCTTTACTATACTTCAGAGAGATCCTCATTCGAAATGAAGTAATAAGGACAATGTACATTGTTCATAGTACAATGCATTTACTGCTATTAGATATTAAATCAAATAATCAATTTCTTGAGCCACACGATATGTACGGATAAGCCTGGTGTATTGAGCTGCCAAGCCTGAAGATATCAATAATTGACCCCCTTTGTACTATGCATTAAATGCATTTTATGGAGCCTCAAAAAATGTCACTTGATGTGCCTTGAAGATCAGTATCAGCTCAGTTGGACCACACATCTCCCACGTGGCTTCGACCCATTTCTGACCCGACCTGACCCGGAGCTAACCTATGTTTGGGCGGGAACACTGTTCAGAATTTCTCTTGCTTTTGTATATAGAAAGATTAATCATTAGATTATTGCTACCCACGATGAGTATATCATCCACGTATAAACATAAAATGACATAGCCGTCTACCGTGCTCTTCACATAGACGCATTTGTCACTTTCATTTATTTTAAACCCATTAATTAACATTGCATGGTCGAACTTTTCGTGCCACTGTTTAGGGGCTTGTTTCAATCCGTACAATGATTTAATTAATTTACACACTTTCCTTTCTTGGCCTGGAACACGAAAGCCTTCGGGTTGTTCCATATAGATTTCTTCGTCTATATCGCCATTTAGAAAAGCAATTTTTACGTCCATTTGATGAACTTCCAATTTCCGCAATGCGGCAATTGCTAGTATCATCCTAATGGAATTTATTCTCGTCACAGGAGAATACGTGTCAAAGTAATCATGGCCCTCACGTTGCTTGTATCCTTTGATTACAAGTCTGGCCTTGTACTTATCGATGGAACCGTCAGGTTTCATTTTCCGTTTAAAAATCCACTTGGATCCCAAAGGTTTATTTCCCGGAGGAAGATCAACCAATTCCCATGTGTGATTTTTAAGGATAGAATCCACCTCACTTTTGATGGCTTCTTTCCACATAGGACCTTCGGTAGACGTCACGGCTTCCGTATAAGTCCGTGGTTCATTTTCTACCAAACATGTTAGAAAATTCGGTTCATTTTCTACCATACATGTTAGAATATCCGAGTCAAATTCTACCAGGTAGGTGAGAAAATCCGGTCCGAAGGATTTTTCAACTCTAGCACGTTTGCTACGTCTGGGTTCGGGTTTTTCTCCGGACCCCTCGCTAGTATTTTCTATAGCTACGTCGGATGTTCGTTTTGACGTGCTTGGTCCTTCGTTGGACTTGCATGGAAATACGTCTTCAAAGAATGAAGCATTCCTTGATTCAATTATTGTGTTTTTATGTACATCCGGATTATTCGAATCGTACACTAAAAACCGATAGGCACTACTATTTTGTGCATACCCAATAAAAATACAATCCACCGTTTTTGGACCTATTTTTATTTTCTTAGGTGTTGGTACAAGCACCTTTGCCAGACACCCCCACACTTTTAAATATTGATAGGAAGGTCGTCTGCCTTTCCACAACTCGTACGGAGTTTTATCATATTTTTTCCGGGGAACCTTATTTAAAAGGTAATTGCTTGACAAGACTGCTTCGCCCCACATATTTTGTGGCAGGCCCGAACTTACTAGCATCGCATTCATCATATCTTTCAATGTGCGATTCTTTCGTTCGGCAACACCATTTGATTGAGGTGAATAGGGTGCAGTACGTTCATGTACTATACCCACGCTCGCGCAAAAGTCACCAATTGGTGCTTCATACTCACCACCTCGATCACTTCTAACCGCTTTAATTCGTCGATTAAGTTGGTTTTCCACTTCATTCTTATAAAGAATGAATTTATCGATTGCTTCGTGTTTATTTTTTAATAAATAAACGTAGCTATAGCGAGTGCTATCATCGATAAAAGTAATAAAATATTTATTACCGCCACGTGTTTGTATTGATTTAAAATCACAAACGTCACTATGAATTAATTCAAGTGGTTTCGTTTTTCTTTCAACCAATTTGAAAGACGTTTTCGTTAGTTTTGCCTCTACACAAAGTTCACATTTGTGCTTCACATCAATTGTGAAATTAGGAATGTGTTCCATGTTACTTAATCTACGTATAGAATTAAAATTAACATGTCCTAGTCTACCATGCCACACATTGGAAGACTCAAGCAAGTAAGCAGAAGGTATTTTATTATTATTATTAATAATAGTCATTACATTGAGCTTAAACAACCCATCAACTGCATATCCCTTGCCCACATACATTCCTGACTTAGACAAAACCAGTTTGTCCGACTCAAAGACCATGCGGAAGCCATGCTTGTTCGTATCTCCGGAACGAACAACACTTGGTTGAGAGTCAGCTCCTTGCCCGAAGTCATCTTCAGGACCACCTTGCCCACGCCTTCAACCGCGGAATGAGCCGAGTTTCCCATCCACACCTTCTCACTATTTGATGGCTCAAAAATAGTGAATAACTCCCGGTTTGAGCAAATATGCCGGGTTGCACCGGTGTCCACGAACCACCCCTTGGAATTGGATCCAACGAGGTTGACCTCGGTCACCACAGCCGCAAGGATGATGTCTTCATCCTTTTGCCCACATTGCACCAAGTTGACTTGAGAGTCCCTCTTCTTCTTGGGTGCCTTGCAATCCGCGGACTTGTGTCCGTTTTTATTGCAATTGAAGCATTTTCGGTTGAACTTTGTCTTGGAAATACCTCCCTTGGGACCAAGCTTGCTCTTCCCATTATTTTTATTTTTTGAGCCTTTAGCATGCTCCACCACGTTGGCCTTGGCGCCGTTAACGATTGGGAGTTTCCCATCGTTCTTCCGGTTATCCTCTTCAATCCGCAGACGGAGGATTAATTGCTCCAAGTTCATTTCCTTTCGCTTATGCTTAAGGTAGTTCTTGAAATCCTTCCAAGCCGGCGACAATAAATGGATAATTGACGCCACTCGGAAAGACTCACTAACTGTCATTCCTTCATCTCGAATTTCGTTGAAGATCATTTGCATTTCTTCAATTTGACTCAAGACCGTCTTCGAATCCACCATTTTAAAATCAAGGAATCGACCAACAACAAATTTCTTTGCGCATGCATCCTCGCTTTTATATTTGTGATCCAAAGCATTCCATAGCTCCTTAGTCGTAGCTAATTTGCTATAAACGTCGTACAAAACATCATGCAGCCCGTTCAACACATAGTTTCGGAAAAGGAAGTCAGAATGCTTCCATGCTTCAACCGCGTTGAAAGATTGCGCATCGACCTCACCCCCGGTTGCTACCGGCGCATCTTCGGTCAAGAATCTAGCAAGACCGAGAGTAGTGAGGTAAAATAGCATCTTTTGCTGCCACCTCTTGAAGTTTAACCAGTTAAATTTTTCGGGTTTCTCCACAGAGTTGCTCAGCACGGTAACCATAGGGATTGCCCCTTGGTTGCCCAAAGTAGATGCTCTGCGTTGTGAACCATTGTTCACCAGAGCTCCACTTTCAGATTGATTATCGTTAGGCACGTTCTGCCCACCAACATTTCCAATTTCTTGTGAAGCCATTTTAACGTTTTCAACGTTTTCCGAAAACACAAAAAATAAGTTCGTTCACCGAAGTGACAAACTACGTTTTTAGATTGTTTACCGCAGTACAACAACCAAGGAAAATACGTTTTAGGATTGTTTACCGGAGTAGAACAATCACCGAATACGTTTTAAGATTGTTGGGTGTGTTTCGGAAAAACGAAAAAGTATTAATTAAATAAAATTAATTAATAAACAAAATAGCTAAAAGAAAACAGAAATAAGATGGAGCAGATTTTAGCCAGAGCTCGTGCTACGCACGATATCCTTAAAACGTATTCATCGCCTCCCACGGTGCTAGGAGCGTTGCAACGACCATTTCCCAGGATACGGTGGCTAACGAATGATCGTTGAGCACACAAACGAAAGTCCTGGCGAACTGGAACAATAGGGAATTTTCGGAGTAGCTGGAAGTGTTTTTAGCTCAAGAAAACGTGGAGAATGTGTTGTGTGTTGTGTCTTGTTGTAAAGCACCTGCCAGCTATTTATAGGAGGATTTGTTGTGTGTTAAATGGGGTGTTAATGGACCTGGACGTTGGACATCAATGACCAGTCCGTTGGGCATTGAATCGTCCATAAACTGTCCATTTAACGCAGCATTGAAAGACAAGAACGTTGGGCATTTATTGCTGTAACGGACCAGAAGACCTTCTGTTGCGAACAGAAGGCCTCGAGCGTCTCTGTTGCGAACAAAAGACCTCGAGCGTCTCTGTTGCGAACAGAACTGGAGCACTTCAGTTCCAGACAGAAATGGAGCATCTCTGTTCCGGACCCCTTCTGGCACTGGGAAAAACAAAACGTTACGGGAAGAAACAAAAATTAGACCATATCTTTGAATGATAGATTTTTCGGACGACATTCGTGTCCGCAGGTCGGACGCGCACACGAGTCGCGGTTTTTCTTCTCCGTTTCGAGATTTGATCGGCACCCCCTCTGCGCGTAAGAGAGAGCCTTTACCAGTAGGAATCTTAACTCCTTAAAAGAGGATTCCCTTTATAAGGGGGTGAAAATCCCTTGAGTTTTCAGGTGTGGGATAAAACACACTAGAAACCCATCATTTTCCTAGTTTTTCCATTTCAATGAGTGAACTTCGAAAATCAATTTCTCATTCACCCGTTATCCGTTTTGAGTGTACCACATATCGAATTGTAGCCCTTAACAAGGACAATCCGAAACCACTTTAACCCGACCCAAATCAGAAGTGGACACCACTCAAATAATTGCCCCAAAATGACCATTTAATGCAATTTTTACCACATTTTTTCAACAGATATCACATTCCAAAGTGTGAGAGGGAACGACATTTTTAAGTTGTCCCCAAAAAATTATCATTTTGCGTGCTTTTAAAGTAGTTAATTTGTTATGTTTCTCTTCTTCTTTTTCTGTAGCGTAAATTTCAACAATTACGTTTAATTTGTATGTTCTTGTTTCCAGGGCCGGTCATAGGGGGAGTTACTCTAGACAAGTGTCTAGAGCCTCCAAATTTTAGGGGTCTCTAATTTATAAAATAAGCTTATTAATATTATTTAGGAGATTTTGTCCGGCCGTCAACATTTGGGATAGTTTCCTTTGTAAATTTTTGATTATTTTTTTTAGAATCTTATTCATTATGTCTAGTTTACTCATACCAAATTTCACCTAAAAATTCAATCGGGAAGACATTCAAATGAATTCTTGAAGATAACTGCGCAGTTAAAAGCACAGTTATCTTCAAGAATTTATTTGAATGCCTTCCATGTTGAATTGTTAGCTGAAATTTGGTATAAGTAAACAAGACTTAATGAATAAGATTCTCAAAAAAATCATCAAAAATTCCACCGGGAACTGCCCCAAATGGCGACGGCGGGACAAAGTCTCTTATACAAGGGCTTATTTGACCTTTTTGGTTAGTATGTGGGCTTATTTGCTCCTTTTTCCTTTTTTTTTCTTTGTTGGCTAGGGCAGTAGGGCTAGGGATTTAGGATAATGAGTATTCTAAATATATTTGAATGCTTATTGAATAATTGAAATTGTAATTTGTTATTTTGATTCATCGAAATATTGAACATACTTATAATTTTTTATATTTGATTAAATTTAGTGAATTAAATTTATATCTATGAACCATTAACTTATATTTAGTGATAGTATTATTTTGAATGAAATTTTATGTTTTGTGATGATCGGAAAACAAAATATGAATCAAGATGTACAAAGACAAAGAAAAAAATTAAGAAATGATTTGGTCATGAAATCACTTTCAGGCTCTATCGATCGGTGTGTTGTATGTAAGCACAAAACCTTCTCCCTCTAGAGCTCTTTGTATTTTTTCATCAACTTTGATCTTCTGATTTCGAAGAATATTCTCACTGTGTTAATAGTATATGATGTATTTTATATGTAATTTACTTATATTTAATTGCTATTTTTTATATAATTGGATTAAATAAAACATATTTAAAACAAAATTTCTACATGACCGTCTAGGGCCTCATAATTGCTGTGGCCGGCCCTGCTTGTTTCATGTGTTGGTCAAATTTGACAAACTCCTAATCTCCAATGAAACTAAAGGAGTATAATCCTTACAAGGTAATTTGCTCACTTGACTGTAATTATAACCTCCCAACTATGAACTATATAATTAGCCTTGAAATATTTAGATACGGAGTAAATTTTAACCTTCTACGAATTCGGGAACAGGGGATCCTCTCATGCAGAGGTTTTGGATGCAAACCACTAAGAAGTTATTTGAGATTTGTTTCACAAATGTTAGTCATTTAGTCCTCCCAAGTTAGCTTGAGCAATCAATGCTTCATCTCACCTCAAACGGCATTAATGCGGAAGTTAGCTTGTTGCTCAGAACCTGCAAATGTTTGTTCAATCAGTGGCATTCTTCCATGAGCGGTGCTGAAAACCAACAAGCAAATTCAATAAGTTAACCATGGTTTGTTGTGTGAGTTGTTGCACAAACGGGCGCAGCGAACATAGCGGATTATTCCAGCGACTCACATTTAATGGTGTATTGTTCTTTTGTTTTTGGTCCTTGAACTATCATCACCATATCATTTTGATCCTCAAACTATTAAATCTATCATTTGAGTCCTTTATCTATTTAATCTATATGAATCGAGTTTTTTCGTTAAAATTTGTCGTTTACATTGGCGGTAATTAACTTATCCACATCCCATAGTTTTGAACATTTTAGAACAATACAATTATTCTTAAAATTTAAGTAGCTAATCTAGATTTTTTAAACATACATATATATATATACACATACACATACAAAAATTATAAAATAATAATATATAACCGATGTATGGCTTAAATAATACGGATTATATAATAAAAAACATCCGTGTTTACATGTAAGAAAAAACATGTATGAAATATTATTAATTAATTAACTAATTACGAATTTAAATACGGAGTTTTATTTTGGGGGAAAACTAACGAGGTCATAAATTGAGAAAGTGAGTGAATTTTAGTCATAAATAGGGCAATTTTCTCTTAATATAATTAATACTACCTCCGTCCCTCTAAGTTTGGGACAAAGGGGTGTGGTGTAGTTTTTAAGAAAAAGTAGAATTGTGTAGTTGGTATTGGATTGATAAAGTGTAAATAAAGTAGAAATGAATTATAACCACTCAAATATTACCAAATATGATATGCGACAAACTTATTGAGACGGACAAAAAAAGTAAAACGGCACAAAATTAGGGGGACGGAAGGAGTAATATAAACAACCCTCCTCATTTTCTTATTTAATTTTATCTGCTCATACGTATAAATTGAGTTATTTGATTCTCTCTTATATATTCCGTATTATTTAATCCATACATTTGGTTTTATATTATTTATTTATTTATACTTACTGAGACGTATGTTTAAATTTGATCCGCTCTAATCTGATCTATTTAAATCTCGTCTCTCTTTAAAACAAAAAAAAGAGGCTGAAATTAGATTCCGACACAATAATGGTCACTTTTTTTCTTAAAGCCAAAACCTTGGAAGCGTAAGGATGATGGATAATAAGTAGGGTCCTCTAGACCGATAGTTCATAACTAGACTAGATTACCGGTTGAGATGAAAAAAATCTTGATTGTAACTGTAGATTCTCAAGTAGCTAAAAGTTCTCGACTGTAACTAGGCCGGAGTTCTTTAATTACCCAGCTAAACAAAAGGTAGAAGAGCATTCAAACACGGAACCAAAGACTAGTGAAGTCTGCGCACAAGTCTTCCTAACAATGTCCCACCACATCTCTGTTAACTCCATTGCATCATACACAATCCAATCAAGCATGAAAGTCCACTCCGTCCTTCCGGCGGCTCAACACCAGTCTCCCTGAGAAGTTTCCTCCATCTTGCCAGGAAGTTTACAACGAAAGACCCAACATGGGGGGACTCCAAGCAGCCAGCATATATGTGTTTGGCACAAGTGAGCCACAGGAATCCCATGGCTGGGAATCACCCGAACCAGACCTCGCCTTATTGGAGCTTCTCATCATCAATGGAGTCTGCCATGGATACGTTTGAGTTCTCTGAATTCCTCGAGTTAGATGACTGGTGTGAGGAAGAGCCCCTCTGTCAAATGATCACCGACCATCCTCAGCCGAGTCTGCTTCAAGCGATGAACGAGGATTCTCCATCTGAGGGGGGAGTTAGCACCTCCCAGGACGGGCCTAGAAATGGTAAGAAACGTGAAGTCGTGAACTTATCCACCGCTCTAGAGTAAAAGTTCAACCTAATAGGACTAGCTAAAGTTCGGGCTTAACTGCATGTCCATGTAAAACGTTGACTCGTTCGTAATAAAATGGTGACTCGTTGGAATGTACCAATCTTGTATTACTGCATTTATGTTCAAGTCTATGGGTGTGAGGTTATGGGGACTAATGAAATTAAGAGGCTTTGGTATTAAAACTTATAATTGCGTCATGAAAATCAATAAGAGGGGTAGTACAAGGTCTTACAAAAAAAATGCATCCTTATATTCATATTATAGGAGAAACTCTATGCTCATCCAACTTTTTTTCTCTCTGCATCTTGGTTTTAGATGGTGGAAACAACATGGGAGGCATACAAAAGTTTGTATTCAAAACAAAGTCAGATATTGATGTACTTGATGATGGCTACAAGTGGAGGAAATATGGCAAGAAGAAGGTGAGGAGCAGTCCCAATCCAAGGTACGATGATTTATGATAGCAAATTTGGGACTATAATGTTTTTAAAATCAACAAAACTGTGTAACCTGGCCGAAACTGTCTTCTAGTACAGCTCACAATAATAGTATCAAAACTAAATATAAAGAGCAATAAAGAAATAATGTCTATCTCTCTGTCAATTTAAAAAAAAAACCATTTTTACCCGGAGTCCCAAAACACAAGCCCTGTTATAACTAGCTACCTTTTCTTATGCCTTTTTGTGAACCTTTGACCGCATTTTCTAGGCATCTAGGTGTGGAAAGTGCATTGTATATGTTGGGTAGGAGTGAAGCGATCAACATGATAGATGGGGCTGTAAAAGAAAAAAATAAACGGCCATCTTCTATAGGAAATAAATTTTTTATTACATGAAAGGTCCGTTTTAATGATATAATTCAACACATTAAATTACCCAGGAGAGAAAATATTATTCTGCAGACATCAGATGTGATTATGTTGTTTTTAAAACAGGAATTACTACAAGTGCTCTGCCATTGGATGTCATGTGAAGAAGAGAATTGAAAGGATGAAAGAAGATGAAACTTATGTCATAACAACCTACGAGGGTACCCATAACCATGAAGGTCACCCGCCCTCATCACAACATCGGAGAAACTCAGTGATACTACGTTCCCATCCAGAATGACAAAATCACATTAAAAAATTACCATTCTTTTCCCTCTAAATAAATTTCTGCGGTTTTGGATGGGTACTAGGCATTATTCAGAGAGAAAATGATCACTAGTCACCAAAGTCAAACCAGACACAATCTATAGCATATCATACACAACCAAAAGATTCCTTACTACTAAAGTCAGTTGATATAGATGACTGCTAGTAGTTGATGAGATTTGTATTGGACACTAAGAACTTCCAGTCATCAACATTGATTCAAGAAACATCAGAACATAGAAAACAATGCTACGTACAAGTTTGGGCTAATCAATAATGAAAGTTCAATGAAGTTCAGACATAATTGACAGTTGATTTCCTCCTTCATACACACACATGGTTATGAGATTTGGGATGGCATACACGTATTTACTAGACAATATCAGGATCCATACCTGAAAACTTTATGATGCAAAGTTTTTCTGTTTCCATGCCATCAGAAAGAGACCTACAGCACTCTAACAATCCTCCTGGATATCATTATTATCATTGTTTTTATTAATTTCCTTTACATGTAATGATATTGGTTTATTGTAATTAATATTAGTATTGTTTTTTTATTATTAATTTCCTATATGTATGGGAATTATAATTTTGTTACCATTCATAATAGAAATATCGTAATATGTTATATGTCTAGGGTTACTTTTCAGACTAGTATAATAGAGGTGCTTCATCTCTCGTCTACACCCATAAGGCCATAACATCTTGTTCCACAAACTGCTCATACAGATAGTCCAGATAAATTATTGATTTATTGTGAATTTTATCTTGTTCCAGTAAAAACAAGCTTTGAAGTACAGTACTACAGTACGGTTTTGTATTATCATATTCCAGAATATCATAAAGCCTACTTAGGGTATCACTTTGCTAGTTATATCATGCTTCCCTTGTAATCGTGCTTCCACAAGAAGTGCAAAGTTGTGCCACTAGAAAAAACTAATTGAACTATCCTACTCAAAGGTAAAAACCAAAACAATAAAAGTACTCCCTCTGCTCTATTGCTTTCCTTTTTTAATCCATCCCTAAACTTTTTTTTCATCCATCCCTAAACTATCTTCTCTTTACTTTTAAAGAAAGTATTATATGGTTAATGTTGTTTCTCTCTGTTTTCACAAATTCAAACTATAAAGCTTCCATTTTTTAAAAGTTGCGTCAAATCAAAAGTGGGGATAAGAAGGAATGGAGGGAAGACGTTTGGTCACCTTCATTCAATACAACAACAATACCCAAGCCTAAATCTAAAAGAGTTTCGGGTCAGCTAACATGAATCAACATATGATATTGGAGTTCAACCAATAAATAGAGAAAAAAGGAAACAAACAAAATAAGATCAATCATACCCACATATATTTTCCCTCCATATTCATTGAATGCTTTCAAGAAGATTCTGACGTTAGTACATATAAAGAAAAGAATGTTTTTATTTCTTTTTGTAAAAGCTGCAGTCTTCGTGCTTAGAGTGTCATACATGATATCTGTACTCCCGATTAGGGCCTATAGGCTATAGCAAGCTGTTGATAAATGCAACAGCAAAAGCATTTGAACATATTAAACTGTGAAATGCTCAAATGAGTATGTAGAGAGTCCAGAAGCTGATGAGAACTGAAGTGCATGCTGGCTGCCAACCATCCTGGAAAGAAAGTAAAAATAAATAATAACTAGTCTGCCTTAAAATTCATTCATAAATAATTTGTTTTCTTAATGGTAGCAAGTCTACGGCTTAAGCAGCACAATTTCAAAACTCCAATGCGCTATGATATTGCCACTATCAGTCAATGGGTTTTCTGTCAAAGTGAAGATCCAAAAAAAAGTATCACACTAAGAGCATCTCCAATGCTCATCATGCATTGTTGCTTATGTGGCAAAGAAATGGAGAAGGTCTAGACCAAATTTCAGCAAAAGAATGTGGTCTATTTGGTAGGCACTCCAATTCGGAAGTGGGAAATAAATAAGAAAAGAATAATTGATGAAAGAGAAAGAAACTTCATATACTTGAAGCAAAAGGAGTTTTCTTGCTGTGAGAAGTGGCACCGAGGGTCTGGAACTAGACCCAGTACTGGACCTTGTATATTGCCACATCATATTTTAGAAGCCCATTTACATTAGCAATTTAGCATTGGAGAGTCGATTTTGTAAAACAAAGTGCAGTGGCTGAGTTGGAACCCCAACTGACCCCTTCATCGGAGATGCCCTAACAAAGGGGCAGTCGGATTATGACAGAATGATGTCATCATTATGACTTCGTGATGATATTTTTAAGATTAAAGAATGCGTACATGATTAAAACTATAGAGGGGGCAACCAAATGTCCAAATATGAATATACATGTGTGATGACAATGAAAATAAAATATAAGGTGAAGAGATGACAGGATTGGTATAGCAACAGAAATTGATTGGGACAAATAGAAAGCCCAAGATGTTAATCAGTTCCTTTTTCTTTGCTTGAAGATGAATGAACAAGCATATTTTAAGGGCAGTAAAAGAATGCCCTAGTATTTCAAGTTCTAAACAGTTGTATGAAGTCAGGTATAGAATCCCAATCCTATCAGACCTGTGCCTTGTCTCAAAACCATACTATTCATAAATAAAAAAACAAAGGTAAAGGTATTAAAAAATGTTTTCACTGCATATAGACTATACATCATTAAATGCAGAGTATGTTTACAGTAGAAGTATGTCAGAACTTATCACAACCAAAATTTGTAAGTGATCTATACCAAGGGAAAAATATGGGAATATTACTAAAACATGTGCGGTTTCCCATAGTATGACTAGAAAACTACATTTACGGTTATGACTACTAACGGAGGTATGTGCCTACGGTTAAGTTTTAATTTAACATTAAAAGACTAATGGATGATCATGTGCCGGTAATAGAATAGGGATAAAACTTCACCTAGTCATATATCAGGAAAAACATCCCCTTTTAGTCATTCATATTGTAAATTTCTCATATACCAAACTGAAAAGTTTCTTCGAGAACAAATTTCCTCCAGCTATATTTCAGAACATGGAATAATTCTCACACCAAACTTTTTTATTACATGCAACTTAGATCTGTCCGCCCCAAGTTGATTATGAAATATCACATCCAAATGTATGCTACAAAAGAACTAAGCCAATCTATTTAGACATTCACCTTTCTTGCAATGTCTCCAAAAGTTATCCTCTTGCAATCATCTATGATCTGCCTCGGTGCTATTAAAATCAGTTTGATCGGCCAGATTGAAAGTTCCTTCGGCTTCCAAGAATCGGCTCAAAATTTTGTCATCCAAATGTTGCTGAAATTAATCAGCAACCACATACTTCACTAAATAAAATCATTTAAAATAATAGAAATTGGTCAATATGGGACTAAAACATACATAAGTTCAAAAATAGGACTTAGTGTTTTATTCCCCAAATAGAATTTATTTAGTCCTATTAAAAGGATAAGTTGGTTAAAACTTCCCAAAATAGGAGTGAATGAGTCCTATTTTGGGAATAAAATATACTTAAACCTATTTATGAACTTAATCCTTGTTTTAGTCCTATTTAGAGAATTTTCTCTCAAAATAACAAACACATACTTCAGTCCTAAGTTGGTGATTGAAGCTTCAAAGGGAAAATAGCTTACAGAGAGACAGTCTCTATATTTCTGCCACTCTGAAACACACTCCTCTTTATCCCACTGACCCTTCAAGAACTTCTCAGAATACCACCTATCGGAAATAATGCCAACCATCAACTCCCACCCAACTTCAGGGTTTAGGGTAAAAGAAAAAAAGCAGGATTCATATAATAAATGTTTTCAAAGAACCATGGAATGAATATTTGAATATCGACGAAACCTAAAAAATTAAAAGTAAAATAAAAAGGTTTCTTTTTGTGTATCTTCTTGCGAAATAGGAGCCACAGATCGAGAGGGAAGCACCGACCTGTTGAAGCAATTGTGGTAAGCTTCTCTGAGACTGGCACACGGTGAAGTTGCCGAGGAAGATGGCTTCTTCTCATTCTTAATCCTCATATACGCTTCCTAGTTGCCAGAAAACGTCTGCTTTCTTGCCTTACTGTGTAGGGTAGACTGGTAGAGTATCAGCGTAGCCCAAAGCCCCAATGTTTTTCCCCTATCCTGCTACCCAATCAATTATCAAATACGGAAATCAAATAGGAAAATTAAGTTTACAAACACACTTACAAAAAAACTTATAAACAAGTGACGTTGCTATTCTAATTGTCATTGATGTAAATGTATCGTAAATGTGATATGATTTATTAAATAATGTGATGATGTCACATACTCTTTTGTAAAACTTTTTGTAAAAGTGTTTCTACCTCTAGCATAACTCTACTAAAAAACGTTAAAACAGGCGTAGTGCTAGGAGTTATGCTAGAGGTAGAAACACTTTTATAAAAAGTCTTACAAAAAAGGTATGTGACATCATCACATTATTTAATACATAACATCACATTTAAAACAATTTTACATCAATGTGTTTTTTGTAAATGTATTTGTACTTCTAGCATTTTGTAAGGCAACCGTCTCAAATTTCTTGAACACTCTTTTCGACACTTTTTAAAACCTTACCAAACACTCCGTTTGTTACGCTTCGAGACTCTGCTAGGCAGTACAACACATTTCTAGTCCACGCTCCACACGTCGCTAGTCGATACGAGTATATTTAAAGCAGGCATTCATCGTTATACTCATTTTTTTTCTGAGAGCGACCGAGAGAGAGAGAATCCAATTATGGAGCAGCAGCGATCCAAGCACGATCAGTTCAAGGGCAAGCCTCGACTCCCGCAATTCGCGGTGCCGAAGCGCTACGACATCAACTTGAAGCCGGACCTCGTCGCCTGTACATTCGCCGGCGCCGTTGATATAACTGTCGATGTAATCGCGGACACCAAGTTTCTAGTTCTCAATGCCGCGGAGCTTACCATCGATCCCAAGTCCGTTGTCTTCAAAGCCCAAAACAAAGTACGCATTGACCTCTTGAACAAATGATCCTAGCTGCTTTTAAATCTCAACGTACTTGATTTATTCAGCAAATTGAGTGGATAATTGGTGCCAATTATGTTTTCTTTACGGATCTCTTCGTCTTTGTGGGTCCATAGGTATTCGAGCCAGTGGAGGTGGAGTTGCTGGCGGAGGATGAGATAATGGTGGTAGAGTTTAGGGATATTTTGCCAAGTGATTTGGGTGTATTAAGCATCGCGTCCTTCGAAGGAATCCTAAACGACAGGATGAAAGGGTTTTACCGAAGGTAGCTGTCTCAGTTCTCCCGTTTTTTGGCTTCAACCTCTTATGTCAATTTTTGTTAATATAAAAAAAGTTTGCTGTATAATACTACCGTTCCAAAAAAATTTGTCATTATCAAAATTTTGACGGACAATATCTTTTTACTGAAAATTATTTATAATATAAAAATCATATGAAAATGTTCTTTTTTAAAAATATTTTCATAAAGTATAAAATTTATTACTTTCATAATATTATACTAATCAAAATCAAGTTTCAATTTTGTTGAAATGGCAAAGTTTTTTGGGACGGAGGTAGTACGTAGTATGGTATATCCATTTACATTTGGATGACAATATTTTAATGTTCGGTTAAATCAACCTTGCATTTTCAAAAATCGATTACTTAACCCTTGAGCTTTTATCATTCTCACTGTTTGACCCTTTAATTTAATATTTGTTAAATTAAATTTAACATAATTTTAAATTTAATGAAAGTTTTCTATAAAATTAAATTTTAAAGTAAAATAAAATTTAATATCATAATTGTTAGTCGTTGTTGATTGTTATTTTTTTTACTTATTACTCGAATATGGAATAAATATTAATGAATGCAGTTAAGAGAGAATACTCACGAGTAAGATATAAAATATCATGAATTTTATACACACGAAATAAATGTCATTGAGATTAATTCAGCCGGATGAATTACAAATAAGACTTTTATATTCATGATGAAGAGGTGCCTAGAATTTTGATCACAATATTTCAAACAACTTTCTTTGATATATCTCATGAATATTACTTAGCTCGTGACTCATGAGTCTTCTACCTTAACTATTTTCATTAATATTTATTCCACGATCGAGTAGCTAAGTACAAAAATATTGATCGATAACTAATTATTTAAAATTACTCATAATTCCACAATCGAGTACCTTAACTACTCATAAATCCTTCATTAATGATTTATAATTATGATAATTAATTGTATTTTACTTTTAAAATTCATTTTTAGACAATTTCCATTGATTTTAAGAGTTATTTAGTTTAATTTGACAAATATTTACATGCGGGGGGCATACAGTCAAAATGATCAAATATGAGGGGGTAACTAATTGATTTTTGAAAATGCAAGGTTGCATTAATAATTATGACATACCTCATGGGGTTAATAGTAATTTTCCCTTAATGTTCAAGTCGGTCAGAGTGATTTGAAAAATCATTTTGTCTATGAGTCTATCTTAGAGGAACCACATCTTCCATGCCATGCAACCATGCAGCCATTTGTTGACTTTTTTCATGGAATTGGCAAATGCGATGGCAATAAACACTATTCCCCTCTAACTGTGCTTAAGTTATTCTTTCTAGACCTAGACATACCAGAAATCCTAGGTCAATTTTTGCGTAGTGTTTTTGACTAGCTTGCTTTAGTTGATAATGAGTGTTCTTGACATACATAGATTGTTCGTAACTTTAATTGGGCCCATACAGTACCTATCTGCACAATGGGGAGAATAAGAATATGGCTGTCACACAATTTGAGCCAGCTGATGCAAGGAGATGCTTTCCTTGTTGGGATGAACCTTCTTTTAAGGTATTGTATGCGCAATATTGTCTATTAAGAATGACTCCCTCCGTCCCAGCTTAAGATTCTCACTCTCCCTTTTTGGACGTTAGTTAACGCTTCCCATTTCTATTTTATGAAATAATTAGCACTATTAAATGAAAAATTAACCATCAATTATTAAAAATAATACTCCTATAACATTGCAATTATCATGAATGACCTCACTATGTTATATACCCATCAAAATTACTTCTGCAAATATACTCGAATTACCTTATTTAACTAGTGTCTAAATAATTGTGCCATTTTTCAATGAGAAGCTTAAGTGGGACGGAGGTAGTACTAAATAATCAAATTGGATATTTGCAGAGTGGGCTCAGTTTTATCGATTGAGTACAAATCTATCTCCTTTTAACCCAAAGTGTTATCATAACTACTAGTCTACTACTCCGTATAAATAAATAAAAAACTACTACTCCGTATATAGGTTACATTCATTCTGTGCTCCATCAGTATGTTTCCCTTTTTCACACTTACCTTGTCATATTGAGAGACATTGTTCGAACTTTGAAAGTTACTGAACCTCACAGCCTAGTCTGCTTGGCAGGTTCTGCATTTGATAGATTTAATTGAACTCTCTTTTATGTTGAAAGTAATGGTTAGTATGTTGAGTACTTTGTTAGGTATTTTACTATTTTATAAACTTCGTTCAGTGTTTGCATCTCTGAAGAGTTTTCATTCAACACATATGAAGTAAATGTTGGGAACATCTGTTTCGTGCACATGGGGCACTAACCTTTTCATTCTTTTGCTTGGTTGAAAGGATTTTTGGAATACTATTTTATGTTGCTTATGTAGTCGCTGCAGAATTGTTTATTGAATTATAAATTTCTAAACTATTCCTTCATTGCTGTTGACATCTTGTCAGGCAACATTCAAGATGACATTAGAAGTACCATCTGAACTGGTAGCTCTTTCCAACATGCCAGTTATTGAAGAAAAAATAAATGGGACTTCAAAAACAGTTTGTTATCAAGAATCTCCAATCATGTCCACATACTTGGTGGCCATTGTTGTTGGTTTATTTGATTATGTTGAAGATCATACACCCGATGGTACATTTATTATTAACATTTTCCCCAACTTCATGTTCCGTGATAAAATTGGTAGTTTCCTTGCATAAATATTTTAACTTTCTGCAGGAATTCCTGTCAGGGTCTACTGTCAGGTTGGCAAATCAAACCAAGGAAAGTTTGCTTTAGATGTCGCTGTTAAAACACTTGGAATTTACAAAGAGTAAGTTGAGAACAAGTCGGGAGAATTATTTTGGATCCAGTTGGAATAAGACTCTAGGTGGATGGTTACATATGAAATTAGGAACATGCTAAATGTTCTGTGAATTTTATTTTATGATTTGTATCCTCACTTTGGAGGAAGAGCTTTAACAAACTAAATAAGAACTTCAATGGTAAATGAGCTTATCAAAGAGACGTTTGGCCTAATCTATGATCTTGAGTATAAAAGATCTAATAGGTAATGGCCACACAAGTACTGGTTCATTTTTATAGTCCTTGAAATAAGCTAAAATAGCTTATATATGCTTATCCTTAGCTTTATGGAGCTCTACCTTCTTAACTGGTTTTCAAATTTCATATGCTCTTAACATCACTGTATCATAGCACTGAAAATATTAACATTAGTTGGTGCTGCCACTTCTGGATTTTAACTCAAGCAAATAAGGAACTAACTGAGCTCAAAAGGGTATCTAATGTCTTTTGTAGATACACACCAATTGATTCCATTACACCCTAATGTATTAGCTGTGCCATGTTACGTCCCATTGCTACCTAAGAATCTTCTAAATTTAGATGGTTGACTCTTTACAGTTGTCACATCTTGGTCTTATCACGGCTTACCAAGGAATGTTCTAAATATTTGGTGGGGACATCGGAAGACTTCTTCAATCGTGCTTTCTTTCTGCGCAATTGTTTTTGCAGTTTGATTGCAGTGTTACATTTGCATTTTTAACAAATGCTCTGTATTTTTTTGTATAACTGTATCCACTATGAAAGTCAGAGAGATTATTCTATAATTGATTTCTTTTTATATTTTCTCTCAGTTTTGGAATTTGACATTTTGTGTTCGACACGACTCTTAGTATAGTTTCTAATATTTAAAGTTACTTACCCTTTCACAATAAAAAAAAGTTGTTGTAAACAATTCAAGCTAACCATTACTATCAAATCAGAAAAAAACATGATGGAACATTGAAACCATTTTATTAACAACCTTTACATGTATTCCAGGTATTTTGCAGTGCCATATTCCCTACCTAAACTAGATATGATAGCAATTCCTGACTTTGCTGCGGGAGCCATGGAGAATTATGGTCTTGTTACATATAGAGAAACTGCTTTGCTTTATGATGATAAGAACTCTGCAGCCGCTAACAAGCAAAGAGTAATGTTTGATCTGCTGACATTTGTTTTGTTACTTTATTTGTCAGTTAAATGCTAACTGAACCAACAATACTCTTCGCCTATCATGTCAAGACAGCTCATTTTGTATTATAGATTTGTATATGAATATCATTTTTTGTTTTGATGACTTTAGGTTGCCACTGTAGTAGCCCATGAACTAGCACATCAATGGTTTGGCAATCTCGTGACAATGGAGTGGTGGACTCATCTATGGCTGAATGAGGGGTTCGCAACATGGGTACTCTCTCTGATAGTTTGGTGGAATGTGCATGCTTTGATTGATTTGATTTTAGTTTTGCGTCTTATTGGTGGTTCTTCTCTGTTGGTGTATCAGGTGAGCTACTTGGCAGCTGAAAGCTTATTCCCACAATGGTCTAATTGGACTCAATTTCTTGAAGAAAGCACATCGGGGCTTCGATTAGATGGGCTTGCAGAATCGCACCCCATTGAGGTAAAAAACCGTTAATAATAGTATATTCTCATTTGTTTGAGCATATATCATAAATACTTTTTTTCCCAGGTTGATGTCAATCATGCAAGCGAAATTGATGAAATTTTTGATGCAATCAGTTATCGGAAGGGTGCATCTTTAATTCGGATGTTGCAGAATTATCTTGGCGCGGAATGTTTTCAGGTTGACCATTTGTTTTGGACCTTTTGGTGTGCGTAAAGTTTAAATTGAATGTTGAGATAAAGCTTCAAATTTTCTAATTGTTTTCTGGTACAATAAATATATTTCCTACTTCCAACATGTAGTTATGAAATTCTGAGTAGTTATAAATATGTATGTTACAGTTCTTTGCTGAAATGGAGTAGAAAAATATAAAGGATTCTGCATAATAGTAGTCAATAGGTATTTTCAAAATCTTCCCTCCCGGGAGCATCTTTTCTGATACACACACGCACACGCACACGCACACGCACATATGACCCGATGTTGTTCCCCAAGTCAAGAGCTAATAACAAATAAATTTAAATGAACTCATTATAATTATGATATTCTGTGTCATCCCTTTTTTACACATGTAGTCTTTGGCAACGGTCATGCTAAAACTAATGGATTTTACATGTTCTGACTTGTTGAGTTCAGCGTGGACTTGCTTCATACATTAAAAAGTATGCTTGCTCCAATGCAAAGACGGAAGATTTATGGTCTGTCCTCCAGGAAGAGTCTGGTCAACCAGTGAACAACCTAATGAATTCCTGGACAAAACAAAAGGGTTATCCAGTTGTCACTGTCAAGATAAATGATCATAATTTGGAATTTGAGCAGGTTTTCGCTGACTTGTGTATAATTATTTATAGAATCTTCATAAAACAATATCCAGTTTCTTTCCTTGCTTGGTATGAGTTTTCTGGAACATTAGTGGAGTATTTGTTTAATTTGATGACAGTCACAATTTCTGCTGAGTGGTTCTCAAGGAGATGGGCAGTGGATAGTTCCAATAACACTATGTTGTAGCTCGTATGATGCTCGCAAAAGTTTCCTGCTGCAAACAAAATCAGAAACTCTTTATATAAATGACTTGTTGAGCTCACAATCACAAATGAATTCATGGATAAAAGTTAATATAGATCAAACAGGGTTCTATAGGGTGAAATATGATGACAACCTTTCAGCAAGACTTAGATCTGCAATAGAGAACAAGTTCCTGTCAACAAATGATAGATATGGTAATTAATATAATACATCATAATCTTCATTTTATTTTTCTTGCTTGATTTAATAGTTTTGGAAATTAAATTCTTAATTCACACTTTCTGTTTGAAAAGGCATTCTGGACGATTCATTTGCCTTATCCATGGCGTGCTGTCAACCTTTGTCGTCATTACTTGCCCTGATGGCAGCTTACAGGGAGGAACTTAACTACACTGTTCTATCTAACCTCATAAGTGTAATTCTTCAACTTTTTTATTACCTTATTTTTCGTAGTTCGAGCGCAATCTTCAACATCTTTCCTCTTGATCATACAGATAAGTTATAAAGTTGCAAGAATCACGGCTGATGCTGCTCCTGAATTACTAAGTGACATCAAGCTGTTTTTCATTAACCTGTTCCAGTACTCCGCAGAGTATGTTCCTTACTCATATATAACTTTGCACCTGAAGAGATAAATGGCCCACAACTTATACTACGTAGTAGATAAAAGAAAAGAACACAGAAAAGAATGAAGAATGGCAAGAGATAAATGGCCCACAACTTATAGTAAATAAAATTATAAATATCCTAATATGTGCTTAAAAAAATTAAAACCTTCACCTACATGGTTATCATACTTGTATTGGGAATATTTGAAATTTAGTATCAATGTACTATACATCAATATGTTATACCATCTTGGTATGCTTTGCCTTATCATGTCTAACATAATATCCAAAGCCACTGTTTAGTTTTTAGAGCATACTATTTTAAACAAAGAGCATCTTAAGGTATCTGTATCTTTATCTTTATGTAATGGTATGAAACACATGACTCTTTAAATAGCTATTTTCATTCATGATCATTTAATTTCCTAAAATTTTTAGTGGGACCCATATCCATGTATAAATGCATTGAAAATTTAATAGTGGCTTTGACTCACATTTGGAGGATCAAAGCTCAGTCTTTATTTTATTAAAATCTAGTGGATTTGACTTATACATTTGGAGAGTCAAGTCTCTCATACTTGTGTAATCTTGCAAGAGAATTAATTGACAGCAGTAGACGCCAATGGTGTTATTTACATCAACCTATGAACTGTTTTTAACAAAGTTTCAGCCAAAAAATTCTCACAAGAATGTTTTAAAGTTGAAAACCTCAAGTGTGAGGCATGAGATGTACTGGTTCAAATCTTAATTTGGTGTCAATGCTAACTCTCTCCAAGTATGTTAGCTTCTTCTATCAACCACTTCTTGGTCCTTGTCAAATAACTTGATTGTGGATTTGGATTTGCAACTTCATTATTCCAAACATTATTACAGTTCTTGTATAGATAAATAACGGGCTTAAACCCAAGAAGAATATGAAATCTGAAGCCTAAACCTATTATATTTCTGTAATTACAGCTTTTATACTTAAACAAAGGTATGCATTGGACGAGCTAGGACTCTCCTTAGTTTTAATTTGGGTGGGTCAAGAAAAGTTCATTCATTTAATTTTTTATTAAAAATTTACATTTGGGAAAGAGTTTCCACCAAACTTGTGGCCCTGGGCCTGGTAGTGTTCACTTTTCTTTAAGTTCATAGCATTGAGTTTTTTTATAAAAGAAACTAATCTATTTAAAGCTGACAATTTTATATCTCTTTCTGATATGTATATCAATATATGTATATACTTTTTTTATTTACTAATTATGTTCTAACCCGCTGAATCGTGTGGTCTGTGACCCATTGGCGTTTTTGGTTCTCACCTCCTGCCCAGTACCTAAAACATCATAATAAGTCATATGTCAAACTCACAACCAAGCTTTTTGGTAAATGATAAAATTTGGATTTTTTGTGAAACAGAACTCTAAAAGATACTTGCACTTGTAAGTTATAAACCATGGGTGTAGAGTTGATGTTTTATTCTATGGTGTCATGTTCGGGGTAAGATATTACTAATCTTCAGTAAGTGTCCCATATTAAGCTTGACGTAATTAAAATGTGTTAATCACCTATGTTAAAACAAGGGAGCTCAGTTTAAAACATGATAATTAATAGTTGTGTTTGTTTAGAATAGGCATGACATGCGAATGTGGAATCATGGAATCTTTTCATTTAGTTGAAATTGAGTTGGAAATTCATTGCTGTGTAGACTGTAGGATTCACGGAATATTTTCTTCACACAGGAGGCTCGGTTGGGATCCCAAGCAAGGGGAAGGCCATTTAGATGCCATGTTGAGGGGAGAACTTCTTAATGTATTGGCAGCATTTGGGCATGATGCAACAATAAGTGAAGCAAACAGGCGCTTCCTTGTATATTTGGATGATAGAAGTACACCTGTTCTAACTCCAGACTTGAGAAAGGTTATAATTTTGACACATAACATGTGCTTTATTTTCATAATCTAGTAAATGTAAAGCTCACAGATGCATCCTCTCTCTCCTTTATTTTCCTCCTATCACTGGACAGGCTGTATATGTCGCTGTAATGCGGGATGCCAGCAAATCAAACAGATCAGCATTTGAGGCTCTCTTGAGAGTCTACCGAGAGACTGACCTAAGTCAAGAGAAGACTCGCATTTTAGGTAACTCTAGTTATTGCATTAGTATATAAGTGACAAATTGATGGATTAGATAATTTTTATTTCAGATGATCTAATGATGATGGATAAATTGAAAAAAATCTACTAATCCATTAAATAGTGATTAAAAGTCCAATAAAAACCCATCCAATCTATCAATCAACTACATTTTCACATCATCCTTCCATTTTCCTTTGCTTTTCATGTGTAGAGATGATTGAGGGATGCATGTGATTCATCTAATACATCTAATACATATTTGATTCATTGGGCCCAATTCTTTACTATTAATGAATGGGCTGGATAGATAGATTTGCCTCTAGATTAGATGGATGAATTGAATAAATGGTGGACACATGTTTTTTCCCTCAGACTGCGTAGATTAATTTGCTTTTGGCAACACCATGTATGATGAATAATGACCTTTTTGTTATTTTCAAGGCTCATTAGCATCTTCTCGGGACCCAGAACTCATTCTTGAAGTTCTAAACTTTATGCTTTCATCAGAGGTAATCTTAATTGTTGAGTCTGTGACAGCTACTAAGATGCACAATCACTTCTTGTAATGGTTTCTTTAAACTTAAATTCTTGACATCTTCCCATTCTGATGGGTATTTAGGTCCGGAGTCAAGATGCTGTTTTTGGACTTGATGTCAGTTTTGAAGGGCGTGAAGTTGCTTGGAACTGGTTTAAGGTGAGTACATATTGCTCTTGTTTTTGTAATAGTAGAATATATATTGCTTTGATGGGATTACTAAACATTTTGGTGCACAGGAAAACTGGGACAGAATATGCACAATTTATGGTCCCGGATTTCTAGTCACCCGCTTTATCGCTGCAGTTGTGTCACCGGTTAGTCACATTCACCTTTCACTTCGCCTTTGCATTTACTAAAGCGGTTCTATGTTGCTTCCTTATTAGGGAATTCATTTTCATGGGGCTAGGGAGGGAGTAATACATTACCTTGGAAAGTTGCTTCATGTTTTGGAAGACTTTATTTGTTTGGAAGTGTTCTCCACATAAAAAGCCCCAAATGAACTCTTATGTGCTATGTGGCACATGGTAAGGTATAACGAAGATTGAAATTTGAGTGGATAAAATTATAAGAAGATATAAGATGAGGAATAAGGATTTTGAATTCAGTAGTTGGCTGATCAGAATAATATAAATTGAAAAAGTCAGGGAAGAAGAATAAAGACAAAATGTTGGCTAAAACTTGAAAGCACAACCATCGCGAGTCATGAGTAGTGAATTGTCCCTTAGGAGGCAAAGAAAAATGATCTTTCTACCTCAGATTGAATAATTGGAAAAAATGTTTCCGCTTTGGGAATTGACTAGGAAATGAATGAACATTCTCGCATCGCAAACATGTCATTAGGTTAACTACAGTAATTTCTAATTCATGAACATGAGCGGTATTGGACACCACTGATGAATATATAATATTATCAACACATTCTGTATGTGCAATGTAGAATTCGTTCAACAAATTATGCATGTAATCAACCTTTTTTTACTTTTTTTAAAAATTTCCGTAGTTTGCATCGTATGAGAAGGCAAAAGAGGTGGAGGAGTTCTTTGCAACTCGGACGAAGCCTTTCATTGCGAGGAGCTTGAAGCAAAGCCTAGAGAAGGTTGATATAAATGCCAAGTGGGTCCAGAGCATTCAGAACGAGAATAACCTGGCTGAGGTGGTGAGGGAGCTCGCTCGCAGGAAATACTAATTCAATTTTCGGTAGTAAGCTGTGAAAGAACTTTGCATTTCATTCGACTAAAAATGTTTTTGTCTAATCCTTTCATCGGCTCATTTCACATGCACACACTTGCAAGTTGCACATTTATCTGTCAAGTGTAGACTGTAGTTTCAAATGCCTTAGGGCCAGTTCAACTGCACCTACCCAATCTTTTAATTTTCTCATGGTGAAGGAAGTTTTGGTCCATTTCGTATGTTCGGTTCTTTGCCTGAAAGTACAGCCCCTTCCATCCTGTCTTGAATATTTCATTATTTCATGGGCAATTATATATATATATATATATATATATATATATATATATATACACACACACACACACACACACACACACCAATTTACTTTTTACAGCCCTGACTAAATTTAAGTTAACTCAAACATTTAACATCTCTATTTTGACCTAGCATCCTATCAAGTATTAACTACCTTCCTGATTAAGACTTCTTAAAAGCGATACAATGTGCGGAGAGCTTCCTGAGTTTCCCAAAGATTAGTCTACGGCCGCTCTAGTAGTCTAGTGAATGTGTTGGCCACACGCCCACACCTCTTAACTACATACACATACAAAATTTAATGAAAAAATTGTTGAAATTATTTTTATTGGATTCGTCTCTAGTATAAGCTTCTTCAATTTCTACATAAAACGTGAAACTTTAAGGAAAATAGTTTTGGTTTTGCATATTGGTCCCCTCATTTTGAACTTGTGATAGTTTATTACTTTAAAATCATTTTCTTTTTAGAGAAATTAAATTTCCTTTTTAATTTGAATATTACGGTGTGATTTTATATTGTACAGAATTAATGAAAAGACGTTCCATTTTTTCAAAAGAGGGATTGGTTTGGTTGCTTAGACCATAGGAACAAGAAGGTTGGGGTTGGCGGTTGGGTACTTGGGTGTTGCATTACTGCCTTAGGGAGTTAGGGGTGATGTTTTTACTTGCAATGTAATTTGCTAGTCTGCTCTGGCCTGTTTAAGTCTAGTTTGGTCTGAACTGGTCTGGTCTGGTAATGTCTGATCTTTGTGTGTTTTATAACTACGGAAGTCTGAACTGGTCTGGTCTGCCCTGTTTAAATCTGATCTGGATTGAAAACAAAGTAAAAACATCCTAAATTAAAAAAAAAAAATTAGCTTTTAGCTTGAAAATGCTGAAGTTACACGTGCTTAAAAAGTACTTTAAAATTAAAAGTTGGTATACACGTGCTTTCAACTGTTTAGAGATGATTATAATGGGAAATTATTATGGGAAATTATTTAGCTTAAACCCAAATTACCCTTCACTTCTCTGCTATCTCTGCGTCTCCTCCATTGCTTCTTCTTTCTCCCAGACACACACATACACATCTACATACGGAGTACTCCGTATTATATAAGTCCGGCCTCTACTTTTTTTTACTTCTCCTTTTTCTCTAACCTGAGTCATAGAGAACAAAGATCGTATGTATGAGTGGCAAGGATTGAAGGACGGTGTATGGAATGGATTTTTGGGAATTGTTGATCCATCGTCTTTGGGGATGATTGGCGATTTTGGCTTCCTTTTTTTTTTTTGGATAAAATGTAAAAATATAAATCCAGAAAATAACATTACAATGTATCAAAAAATCAAAGAGAAATCTATCTAGGTAGCAAGCTAACCTAAAATAGTATCTACCGTATCAGCCTCCCCCCCCCCCCCCCCCACGTGGTAGGGGGGAGAGAGGATTTTTTTAAGAAGTCAAAAAGGCACGGGACAGGCCCCGGCTCAAATCACAAAAAGTCCAGTCCAATATACTCCAGCAGTCCAGGCCCGAATAGAAGACCTTTCCCTGCATCAAAAAGCATTCCTGCGTGTAAGCAGTCCAGAAGCAAAAAGAAGCGTGGCCCAAGTCACATCAAAAGGCCCATCCAGGAGTTTGGCCCGCGTCACCTTCAATTGCCCAGTCCACGTGTTTAGCCCGTTAGGGTTCCGGAAGCCCAGCTCGCCAGGCCCAACGTCGTTTTCTCCCAGCGCATCATGTTTGAGCGGCAATCTCATCCAAGGTCAACCCAGCTACAGTGCAACGTCAGACGAAGCGACAAGGAGTCCAATCGATTAGCAACCATCTGACACGTCATCGATTACGCCGATTGAACTGTTGTCATCTCCGGCGTATCTCCGGCGCAACAACTGTAGCCCAAACCAGTCACCAACCATCACACCCAATGTAACCCGTAACCACCCCCCACCCCCACCAGGCTCCGGCATCAGTCCCGGTGGCAATGGCGGAGGAGAAAAAAGTCCCAGCCGGAAAGTAACCACCTGTCAACCCGTAATCCCATCTTCCACCACCCACCCCCGTCGAGCCCCGGCGACCCCCGGCGGCATAGGTGAGGTAGCGAAAGAATGGCGTATTAACAGTACCCGGAAAGCAAACGGACATTTCAGATTCCCAAAACCCCATGGATCTCGGTCATCTTCTCCGACCCAAAACTCCACCAACACAAGCGCGATATCAACCTCAGGGTTTGAAAATCCACAAGCGCCGAATAGCAAAGAAGCAGATTTCGCCTCATTTCGTGACATTTCCTTCCGCACAAGTTGACGAACAGGGATAAGTCCCTATTTTCAGGTTTCGACCACCGGTGGCTGCAAACTCCCGATCCCCGGTCTTGGCCCAGCCGGGGATCCGTAACGAAGCAGAATAAAGCTAAGGCCGCGTGAAAAGAACTGCACCGGGACCACCCTCACCCGGTGCTGCCACAGAGAACGCCAAAACCCATGGAAGATGAACAACCTGCAAGCTTCCAGGTGCAGGAGGAAGACGAGCAGGTTCCTAGACATTCAGGGAGTCTAAACAGCCATTGACGAGTGTCCCCCTCCACTGTCCTCTGACGTTTACAACTACGCAACCATTCCGGCGTCACGTCTGAGGACGATAGAACTGCACTCGTCGGAGGGTTTTCACCCTGGTTGTGAATGAAAAGGAAAAGAAGAAGGCGAAGACGGTAGTCAATACCTGAAGCATAAACCGGCAGAAGGACCACCAGACCTCGTGCGGAAGAATCAGTCCAAGAACTTAGCTTATCTTCCACGTTGAAAACAGACCCTGGAAATCTGGCCCAGAACATCAGCAACGCAGCTTTCCAGAAAGACCAAACAGCACCCAACCACCAGTAATCCCATCCTCGGCCACTGAAAAAACGAGCTCCAAACTTTCCCATGGTCATCGAAACTGACGGTGGCAGTTGAAGTGCCATCGGAGCTCCTTTCATGCTGTGTACCAACTAAGTCAACAACCCACAAGGTTTTAGTAGTCTAGCATCAGGAGATGGATTCCAAAGATTTAGCCATAGCCATGAAACAAGCCCACCGGAGCCAGGAGGGCTCCGGCGGCGGCCACCGCGAGTGGTGGTGTCGGACCTGAGAAAGGGAGAAGAGTCTAAACCTCGAATGGTCTAGAGAGAGACGCTCTCAACTTCTCCTTTCAGGCGCTCGATTTCCTATTAGGCTCTGGCGATTTTGGCTTCCTTGAATTTACATGTTGTAGTTGATGATAGCCGCTTCAGATTTCTGATGGATACTCGAAAATATATTTTACAACAGATGAAAGGGGTGTTGTTATTAATTGTCCCGCTAAAATTGTCTCATTTTACCTTTTTGGGAAGTCTCAATCTTAGTGGGATGGAAGTAGTACTATTTTATTATAATACAAAAATGTTATCCATACGCCTGCACCGTCTATATAAATTGAAATATGAACTTCATCGATATGAAAATAGTGTATAAACTTTATCAGTACATTTTTCTCCGCATTCCACCATCGTCAAGAATTCGTAGTTTATCTTTGAATTTTCCCCTAAATAATTATGAAATACAAAAAGGTAAAAGTGCATAAAAGGTACTTGTTAACTTGTGATTTGAGCTTCATTTTTTAACAAGAGACATGTTTCAATTAAGTTATCACAATCGGGGCATGACTTTTAACGCCGTTAGAAAAATTAACTCCGATTTTCAAGTCTCCGAAAAATTAAAAGAAAAATACTGGGCGATGCGCTTCGTTAAGAAGACTCCCAGACTATCTTTCTTTTTTGTTTCCAGCCACCCTGATGCTAGAAAGTCCACTAGAAAAGTGATATTAGTGAATTTTTAAAAATAATCCAAATAAAGCCGAAAAATCCAAAAAGAATGATAGTTTGTTGATCTCCTTGATGAAGCGCACCTCCTAGTATATTTATTTTAATTTTTTGAAGACTTTTATAAATCAGAGTTAATTTTTCTAACGACGCTAGATGTCATGCCGCAACTTTGATAACGGAATTGAAGCACATGTCTCACTTTTTTAAAAAATGAAAAACGGGCTCCTGTCTGGAAACGGTTCAAACCACAAATACATTTTGTGTACTTTTCTCAATAAAAAATCTCAATAAAAAATGTACTCCGTATAAAATGTGTTAATTTTTATTTTTGAGTTTTTGAGTTTTTTCGGTTGATAAAAAATAAAGCGGGCTTAAGTAAAGTTCTTTTATTTGCAGGCACTTTGAATTAAAAATTGTGTTTCATGCTTTTCAGCTTAAAAACTCTGTAATTGATTCAATTTTTTTAAAACACAATATATGTGCAATATTAATATCATTTTATAAAAAGTCATGAATAACATTAAGTAAAAATTACTTGGAAAACGGTCATGAATAACTCCAAGTTTATATTACTTGGAAAAATTGAAAGTAAAAAAAGTTACTCCGTATAATAACATTACATTAAAACGAGATAAATGTTTTTTTCTGGGTCCTTCAGCCGACAAGCGTTGCATCCTGATTTGTTTTTGGTCATTCTTTGATTTTTCTTTTTCTTTCTTTCTTTTGGACTGTTAGTAACCCTTCTAACTTCAATTTTTCCGTTTTGAAATTTTAGCCCCTCAATTTGATCTCCAATATACTAGTAATAAGTAACAAGATCAAAATTTAATTTTTTACGGAGTAACATTTTGGACTCCTATTGAACTAGAGTTGCTAATTTTATTGTAGTTTGTTCTAAAAGTCTTATTGCAGAATCGAATGATCTATAATCCAATCATGGATTCAAACCAAATGTGCATTCAATTGAATGATTTATACTCCCTCCGAGATTGAATTGCAAATTTTGACCGGAACAAGAATTAAGGAATGACAATAAATGATGCTTGCTTTTTACACTTTTGCTCATCTTTCTAAAAGTAGATTCCTTTAAGTTAATATGGAAAAAGTAAAGGTAAGAGTAAATTTGTCACTTTATTCTTATTTACATACCTAAAATAGAAAGTGGAAAACCATTTTGGGACAACCAAAATAAGAAATTTTGCAAATCAAATTGGGATGGAGGGAGTATTAAATTCTCACAATAATGTATTAATGTGCATTCAATTGAAGACACAGCACAAAAGCAATTATAAAAATGTGTTGGCATTATTGTAGGCTGTATATTATGCATCTCTTTTATTTCAAATGATGAGCTTCTTAAGTCATACTCCCTCCGTCCAGTTAGAAGGTTCCCGTCCACTATTCTCATGGTCAACTTAAATCATTTTTAATCTTTTACTTTATAAATCAAATTTTTGCCAAATTTACATTTTTTTATCAGGCTTTGTAGCGGTTTTAATGTAGTTTCTGAATATGTTAATTTTATTTACTAAAAATAAACAGATTGTGAATATGGATTAAGTTGCTTTATCGACAGTCAAGCATCGTAAATCGTTCACGGGAACCTTCTAGCGGGATTCAGGGAGTACAACATAATCTGTTGGATTATGGAACAAAATATTTTTAAATATATTTTATTAATTAAATAAAGAAAAAATAGGAGCCTGCTTGATAATATAGAAATTGGTTGAATCAGTTGATGCACCTGAAGTTGATGAATTTCTGGCTAAATTGGATGAATCTGCTCAATTATGAAAAACAATACGAAGTATATTTTATTATTAAAATAAAGGAACAATTATATCAAAAGATCTAAAATGATCTTCTACCGTATTTTCAACTAGCTAGAAATGTAACTTCAACCTTACTTATTTGAATTATTACACAATTCATCACAAAAAATCAAACGTGTCTTGCTTTTGTGGAGAGTTGGTTGATAAGATTGATAAAATGAAAAATAGATTCACCAAATGTCTTGGCCAAGGTCAGGTCAGGTCCGAGTCTTTGACCGGTCAATCTCAGGTTTTAAACAGTTCACTTAGGGGGTGTTTGGAACTGATTCTGATTCTGCTTCTTTTTTAAAGCAGAAGCAGAATCAGAATCAGTTTTCAGAAGCTGGTCACCCCAGCTTCTAAAAAAACTAATTCTATGAGTAAATTAGAGCATCAGAATCACTTCTGCACTTTTTCTCAAACTCTCCAACTTCTGCTTCTGCTCCGTGAAGGAGACAGAAGCAGTTTTAAGAATCAAATCCAAACACCCATTTAAAAGACTAGATTATTGTTTGCTTTGTTTTTGGATTGTTATCTTGGCAGAATAGTCGCGACTCTCAATTGTGAAAGAAAGTTTACCACATTCCATTCAATAGGTGTCTTTTGGAGGAGTTTCCTGGACAAAAACTATATACCCAACCTGTCTGCAAAAGAGAAGCATCGAAAATTAGCAATCCAAAAGAACCATCTCCTACACCGTTTACTCTTTTTAAAGAATCCATCACCGGCCTGCTCCTGCACTTTGAAGAAGCGGAAATATAATAAAAAACGAAAACAAAAATGTCGCAGAGTTCAGAAAAAGAGGGAAAATAATGGAGCACAATAGGAAGAAGAAGAAGAAACAAAAAGGGGAGAGTAGTTTGGCTGGGAAGAAGACTGGGGAGAATGGAGAAAAAGGAGAAAAGAAAGCAAGAAGGAAGAAGGGAGCGGTGGAAGAAGAAAGTAGCTCGAGTAGAAGAGGAGAAAAAGAAAAACATAAATATGTGGACTGTCACGTCAGCTATATGGCCGGGGAACCGGATTTACTTTGCCAAGTTTGACACGAGAATTAATAAAGTAAAAACTGTGTAATTGAAGTTTGCGCAAAGAAGAGAGAATTAACTGGAACAATTATAAAGGATGGAGGGAGTAAATTTGTTTGTTTTTGTAAAATTGGTGGGCTTAATGAGGAGTTTGTTTGGTTCAAGGGCTTAATCGACTTTTTTAGGCTATGTTTGGCACATCAAGCTGGAACTGGAGGCTATGTCTGAATTAGGGGCTATTGTCTGGATCAGAGACTATTGTCGGAAGCTGGATTTTGAAGTGCTGAATCTGAATTACTAGCTGAATAGAGTAAACCCGTTTGGCAAAAAGAGCTGAGAGAGTGACCGGATAATATGAAATTACATTAAAGAGCATATAATTTATTAATAGAACAAAATATTTATTATAATGATTTTATATTTAAATAAATATTACACCGTACTTTGTGTATATTACATATACTTTTTGAATGAAGAAATACCTCTTCATGAAGAAATACCTCTTCATTGAAATAAAGGGTTGGTCTTTATTTATTACATAATGATACTCTGTAATTATTACTTCGTATTTATTAACTATAGTCATATTGTGCCTCTAACATTACACTCTTGACTCTTCTCGTTAGCAAAAGCACCAATCCAAATTTGGGATATAATAAAGATCATCTCTTCGTTAAAACTGGTAGCAAATAAATCAACACGAGACTCATCAATGGGCTTGAGCAAAATTCTGGTGTTCCTAAATCCTAACCTTCTCAAAGTAGTCCCAAACGAGGCATCTCAACTCCAGCTAACCAAATAACAAGATGTACGATGACTCAAGCGTCTTTGTACAGTGGTACAAACAGTGAGAGGGGGAATGGAGGATAGTCAAAGAGTGGAGAATCAACACTACTAGTGGCGACGCACGATTCTGGGAAGATTGAACAGTCGTTCCCCATCTTCCAAATTCAGGGGAATTCTTCAAGATTGATAGAGGGGTGAAGATGATCAGTGAATGAAAGAGAGAAGCGAGAGGATACTATGGGAAAGTGTGTAAATTATACACTAAACTGAACGGAAACGCTAGGCTGAGTAGCGTGTGGGTTCAGTTCAATTATTTAAGATCCATCCCACTTAAGCTCTTTTGCCAAACAAGATTCTTAACAAAATAATTGACTGAATTTAAAATATTCCAGCCCATTTTGAGCTTATGTGGCTTGCCAAACATAGCCTTAGTATATCACAAGGCTTAGGGATCGATCCGGGCCGGTCCGGTTCCGGTTCCGAGACAGGCCCGGGCGGGCTTTTTTGCAAAATGTTGGGCCCGGAACCGGCCCGGGTTGATACCGGGTCCGGGCCTAACCGGGCTGGGCCGGGCCCGGGTCAAGTTCATTTTTTTTTGTTTTTTGGTTTCTAATTAACACTCGACCCCCCCCCCCTCACCCTCACCCCCCAAACTCCCCCAAAACACCCAACCCTAACCTAGAAAAGCAAAAAAAATTGAAAAAAAAATTGAACCGGGCACGGCCCGAACCGCCCGGGCCGGTTCACCAAAACATGGACCCGAGCCCGGCCCGCCCGGCCCGCCCGGCCCGCCCGGCCCGCCCAAACGGGCTAAAAGCCCGAAACCGGCTAATCGGTCTCGGTCCGGTCCCAAAAGGAGTGAGGGACTCCTGATGGAGTATATGGCCCGGGAACCCCCGGCCCACAGACTCCTACTACTCCAGCAAAGGCCCAACAGGCCCAAAAGGCCCAACAGGCCCAATTCACAGCGCCCGGAGTACCAAGCAGTCCGCACAACGCACAGGGGTGCCTTCGGCCCCCTGGCCGAAGGCTCCAGATTCTCACAGAACGGGTTTCTCAAGCAAACTAAGAAACTGGGAGAAAACGGCGAAAACAGCAGCCCTCGGCACTGTGAGCCCTCGGCACCAGGGGTGCCATCGGGAGGAAGAGCCCTCGGCTACTGCTCTATAGCCGAAGGCATCTCACTCGACAAGATATCCGCCTCACATGCGTACAGATCACCGTATTCTGCACAGACGTCCCATCCAACAGCCGCATTAAATGCGGCCACATGCGGCTGCCAGCGCCAACCAGTTGAGGTGACCCCTCGGCCAATGAGCGCTTGACACGTGTCCCTGCCCGGCATTTATTGCTGCTATAAATAGCACCCCATTTCCTCATTTGTAACCACGCTGAAAAGTGATAACACACTTAATACATATCGAATATACACTCTCTCTCTTACTTATTTGCTCTGACTTCTCTCTAGTTATTCTCCGCAATAACCCTTCGGATATATACCCCCGGGTAGACTATCCATCATTTGGTGCTCTCGTTGAGAGCCTGAACAATCGAGTAAGAAACCCTCCCCCTCGACCAAACACAAAAACTAGCCCTCTATCAAAATGGTGAGGACAACACGTGCAAACTCAAAGAACGTAGAAGACAAGAACCTGCCCCTCGGCGACGTCAACGCCCCCGAAGCCTCTCATAGGGCTCCCGAGGGCGGTGTCATCGCTGGGCTGGAACAGGCGGCTGTCGACCTACGCCTTCAGATCCAACAAAATGCCCCCGATGCCCGCCTCGGCCTCGAGGCCAAGAAGAAAAACCGGAGCGATGACCAAGTCAGCCCTCCGGTTCTCACCATCGACGTACAATCGGCGCTCTCCGCCTTCATCCAGACGCTCACCCAGAACCCGGGTGCCTTCGGCACCCTGGCTCCAGCTCACCCTCAGATCGGGGAAAATATCATACTTCCCCCTCTGCCACACCCCTTCGGAAATCCCATCCCTCGGGTGAGAAACGACGAAGGGGTGGTGGCCCAAGAAACATCCTCCCAGGAAGTTCAGTCCCGGGACCGCCATAATGACAACAGGGAGAGGCCCCGTACTTCCGCCCTCAACCGGCTCGGAGGAGGGCCAGATCGCCGAGGGGTCCAAGACCGCCTCGGGGGGAAAGCACTCCAAAGGCCCCAGGAAAGCGGGGGATCTGTTTCGAGGGCAGACGAGGAGCGTCCCCCTCGGGACAAGGGCAAGGCACCCCTTCATGCCGATGATGCTCGGCACCAAATCAACCAGGCCCACTCGGCCCGGGTTCGTTCGCAGGGGGCGGAGACCCTCCCGAGGGACCCTCGGGACGAGATTATTGCGGCCCTCCAGCGCCGGCTTGACGAAATGGAGTCCAACAAAGCTCACGCCACCACCTCCACCCCTCACTCAGATCTCAAATACGAGGCCATGATGGCCAAGATGGAGGAGTTACAGAAGAAGGTGGCCGAGGGCTCCGGGGAACCCGTCATCCAGCTCCGGACTCGGACGCCATTTACCCCAAGGGTATTGGCGGCCCGGATCCCGGAGAAATACCGAGGGCAACACATACAGCCCTACAGCGGAAAAACGGACCCCCAGGAGCATTACAGCAAGTACCAGAACAGCATGATGATGGTGGGGGCATCAGACGAATATTTGTGTCGTTGGTTCCTCTCCACCTTAGAGGGACCAGCATACGAATGGTTCAACAGGCTGCCCGAGGGCTGTATTGATTCATGGCAAGAACTCGCCCAGCGGTTCTTAACACAATTTGCCGGGAGGCGTCGCACAAGGAAGCACTTCTCCCACCTCCTAACGATACGCCAGAGGAAGGATGAGACCCTTCGGGATTTCCTGGAGCGCTGGAGGACGGAGGCCGACAAGGTCGACGGTGCTGATGACGGGACCCTCCTGGCCCTCCTACAAACCGTCCTCCGCACCGGCAACTTTTCAAGGAGCCTCATCATTGAACCCCCCCCCCCCCCCCCCCCCCCCCGCGACTACATAAGGGCCTTGCAGCGGGGGGACCGATATGCTGAGGCCGAGGAGGTGGAGAAGTATCACCAGCATCCGGACCAGCAGCCCCCGAGGGATGACAACAAGCACAACCGAGGGCCGGGGGCTCCTCCAAATCGCCCCAAGGCTTCGGGGCCCTCTGATGACCTCCCTCGGCAAGGCCAAGCCAAGCCCGGGGGAGGTTATAGGAGCAACCCTAAGACTTGGGCCCAGCCCATTCTCCTGGACCGCCCTCGGACCCCATTGACGCACCCCGTCAGCATCATCCTCGATTTTGCAGAGGAGAGGGGCCTCGTTGAACGCGATACTCGCGCACCCCCGGAGGTACACGCTATCAACCCTCAGTTCCCCTACTGTCGCTTCCATCGACACCAGGGGCACAGGACCGATGACTGCCATCAACTGAAGACGGCCATCGAGAGATTAATACAAGCAGGGCACCTGTCCCAGTTTGTCCAGAGCCCTCGGCAGGAGGGACCTTCTCATCAGGGGCCTCCCCGAGGGCATCACACGAAGGTAAACGCTTGGGTAAACCCGAATACCATCCCCCTCGGCAAGAAAAGGGAGATTGGAAACTTGGAAGAAGAGGAGGAGGAATACCCCCACTACCAGGAGAAAAAACGCCACATCCTCATGATCACCGGTGGCAACACAGGGGCGATTCCACCAGCCAGCGAAAGAAGTGGGCTCAATCGCTTTACGTAGGGGAAGTCACTCATATGCCCCCGGTAAAGCGATTGAGGGAGGAACCCATCACCTTCACCAACGCAGATCTCCCTCCTACTTCTTCTCCTCACCGGGATGCCTTGGTGATTCGAACGGAGATCAACGACACCATCATTCACCGAACTTACGTTGACACGGGCAGCTCCGTCAATGTAATGTACCTCAGCACCTTCAGAGAGCTGCATCTGGAGAGGGGGTCCCTTCGGCCCATTAAGACCCCTCTTGTCGGCTTCACCGGTGACACCATTGATTTCGAGGGGGTAATAACCCTCCCGGTGATCTTCGGCGACGGGTTCCATAGAGCCCAGCTCGAGGTAGAGTTCGTCGTCGTCAACATTGACTGCGCCCACAACATCATCCTCGGCCGGCCAGCCCTCGAGGACCTCGAGGCCATCATCTCCATGAGGCACCTCTGCCTCAAGTTTCCCACCGATGGGGGCATTGGCTACTCCCGGGGGAACCAAAAAATTGCCCGTGCCTGCTATCTTCAGGTCACTAAGAAGGTAAGCAAGACGGAACTCCGTGTTGACACCATCACCGGAGCCGTCGACCAGGAGGAAAGAAGGCCGAGGGCTGAACCGGCCGAGGACGTAGAAGACTTTGCGCTCGATCCGGCCCAGCCGGAGAGAGTCGTGAAGATTGGAGCCCAGCTCCTTGAAGATTTGAAGACCGGTATCACCGACGCCCTCCGCGCCTACTCCACTGTCTTTGCATGGGGGCCGGAGGACATGCCGGGAATTAGCCGAAGGGTCATCACCCACCGCCTCTCGGTGGACCCCTCGGCAAAAGCAGTGCAAGAACGAAGAAGACCCCTCTCCGCCGAGAGAAGGGAATTTGTGAAGAAGGAGGTCGCCATGCTCCTCTCAATCAAGCACATCAAGGAGGTAAAATACCCCTCATGGCTAGCAAATGTAGTCCTCGCCCAGAAGCCCCCTACCTTCCGCATGTGCGTGGACTACACCGATCTCAACAAAGCATGCCCCATGGATCCATTCCCTCTACCAAACATTGATCAATTGGTGGATGAGACCGCGGGGTGTGAAATCATGTCCTTCCTCGATGCCTTCCGAGGGTACCATCAAATATTCATGCACGAGGAGGACGCCGAAAAAACTGCCTTCATGACTCCCGAGGGCATCTTCTGCTACCTAGTGATGGCCTTCGGCCTAAAGAACTCGGGGGCCACTT